GTAGGGTCAGTATTGTAATGTGAACCACAGGCCGGTAGGCCAAACCCAACAGCAGCAACTCAGGCACCCTATACAGGGTCCCTATGAGTAGGAACCAACTCAACGGCTCTTAACAACAACAATATATACATTGTGATTAAGAAACTACAGGGTAGTTAAGTGCTTTGTGTTTTAACAAGAACGGTTTAGAAGGTCACTGTATCTATTTTACTTTCAGGGTGTGTAAGGACTGTGGAAAATTCTAGTCATCAGACCACTGAAATGAACAAAATATTTTAAAGACCATGAGATGCCCTGATTGTCAGCCTACACCATCTCTAAGTGAACAAAAGGTCTACTCAGTATAAGTATAGGGACTGTCAGAAAACACTACTAGGAAAAACAAATGAACAAGTATGGGAATGCAATTTTAACACATATAGAAAAGAAACAGATTTTCAAAAGGCGGATAGAGGATTTTCAAAACAAGATGGCAGACTGGGTGGAAGTGCAGTGAGGAGCTCCATCAGCAACAACACAGAATACTGGACCAAACAGGCTCAGAAGATGGTGCCAGAACTCTGAACCACATATAAAGGAATATTTAGAAGATTGGAAGGCTTACAGCTAGGGGAATCTGTAGAAGCAAGAAATCCATTGCTTTCTAATTCAAGATGCTCAGTTGCTCCCAGAGCCATCATCTTGGGTGAGACGAGTGGGGAAAGGATCAGAGCAGGCATGGACTCCTGACAGAACTATGGAGATAATGGAGATAAAAGGTGTGGACATTCTTTTTTTTGTATCTGTTCATTGGTCTCTGTCTGCACTCCGTTCTGGTGACTACAGTGGGTGCTTGAACAACTGGACACTCCACCCATATCCCACAAAGGTTCTACTACGCATGCACACAGATCACCTCAAAATTTAAAGTGACAGTTTCCACTTAAAACAAAACAACAACGCACAACAGCCACAGTTGACATGGAACTTTTTATCACTAGGAAAAAGGCCTGAACAGGGATTGTGGAAAGGAACAAGCAGATTAAAAAGATAATAGGCCAAAAAATAAATCCTGAGTTATGTCACAA